CGTGGCTGTTGGGCGGATGAGGGGCTGTTGGGAGCTGATTGGTGCACGACCCGGTGAAACGGTTGGAGCCAACGCCGGTGGGACTGGGATGAGCAAATCAGCTGTATACAGTAGCCGATGTGCCTGAACAAGTGTATCACATTGGTAAGGAATCTATCCTGAGGCCCTGCTCGATACTCGTACCGGTCCTTTTGATGCATATTCTCCAGAAGGAGCCAATGAAAGGGCCCCATGGCTTTCCTGCACAGATCCTTTCGCCAAAAGGTCGAAAGTGGGCTTCTCCCTTTAGGAGACACACTCATGCGGGCATCGATGAACACATTGACCATTGGGGATGATTCCCTGATTTGCTGATTCCAAGACTATAGATTCCCAAAGCCCACAGCGGCGATGTCCATCAACCTTCCTCCCATGCGGTGGAGAACCATGCATGCTGCCTGCAGGAACGCGGCGGTGGAGATCTTAGCCAAAGATGGCTGGACCCCGACACACAGCGCAGCAGGCAGAGTTGTGGACATGCGGAGTGGAGGGAGCGGTACAGGTTGGAGTTGGAGGGATACAGTTGTCTGTTTGAACCGCCGAAGAGCAACAAGTGTGAAGGATTGCAAGTTGGAGTAGAGTCCCACACTTGGGATGGTTGGTGGATGTTGGGTGGAGACCAGCAAAGTTGTTCAAGAACAAGAAAGCTGACGAGGACGTTAAAGATCATCTTTGTGACGGTTGCACATGTGAATTTGTGTGGCTTCCGGATAATCGATGTGGTTGATGTGTGGCAAGTTGACCGACGGCACAACTATCGCGGCCATGTCACCCCCAAAAAATTTACCTAGAGCCTAGATCCTGAAGAAGAGCCTTCCCCACAACTGAAAATTTCTTCACTGGTGTCATGTGGTCCAAAGCCATTCCTTTAGTAACCAATGCTACCAGTAACACCGGCATTACGGCATTACTATTAGTAGCTAGAAGCTACTAGTAGCTCCTGGCATTGCTGCTAAGAACAAGAAGCTATTAGTAACAAGGGCATCGATCGCTACTAGCAACAAGGGCATGCTGCAATCCTTTCTCATTTTCAGAGAGCCCCCCCCCCCTGCCAAGAATCCGACCCCACTGCCGTCTGGTCCCTGGAACCCCTTCTGCTCAGGACGCGGTGCTCACGGGGACAAAGAGATCCTATGGCTGCTGCTGAACGAGGAGGATCCATCTCTGAGATCGGGGAGTGGGATCATTGGGGCGGCAAAAACGCACGGGTCCAGCGAAGATCCGACAGCTTAGGTCCTGATCCACTCCTCTCCATGATGGGTCGACGGGTAGCTAAAGTGAGAGGAGGGTGTATTCTATCTTATTTAATTTTTTAAATAGGATGTTTAGGAACTTGTCTAAATCTTTGAAGAGTTTTTTAAACCTCTCGAGACCCAAAATTCTTCGTATCACGTTCCCCTGCCAATGCATCTTAACACGCCGTGGGATGTCTGGGACCCAAAGAGTGAAGACTCTTGGCGGTCGCCCAAGCTCATCAACTAGGAACTGGAGCCAGAAGTAGCCTGAAGGGTGTATAGCCAACCGACATAGTGTAAATTCCGTGTCCCCTGATCCATGGCCAAGCCAGACTCCACCTGTTGGTCTCCAAAGGACAACGTAGATCGTGTTGGAGAGTACAATCAGTGCCAGTTTTGAAATCAACTTGCTTTGCATCAGCTATGAGTGTGAAACATGTCATGAGGTCATGAGAGTCAAGACCTGTCAGCAACATTCAAACTGCCGGGAGTAGGATGGCCTGTGATGAACGCAGAAGTGCAAATCAAGTCACCAGCAAGACACGCAACCCGAAAGAAAAAGATCCCTATATTGCTCATGAATGACAGACGGTCTGCAACTTCAACTGCGTAGCGTCAGCTGCGTTTGCAAGCATCTCTGCACCACCCCACCCGTGCCCTGCGTTTGCAACTTGCCCGGAGGAAATATCAAAAGTGCTGCAAATACCGCAAAAAATTGTGTCGGTTTGTAAGCCCATCCACAATTGCCAGAGAGGGACGGAAAATGACGGAAAGATGTGTGGCGCTGCGCACCCCCCCACAAAACAAGTCGTACATCATCTCTCTCAGACCGTTTCTTGTATCTGCCAGGAACACGCCGTCCCCGTTCCACTCACTCACGTTCATCATTCTAGACGGACTGTTCCCCACAAACAGTGTCCACAATCGGTCGTGAACCGTGGATGTCACTGGATGTCCGATTGCTTGGCCCGTGTCCCACCATCGACCAGGAAAATGCCCGGATGTCCAAAGACATCGCAGGATGCACACCTCAACACTGGTCCGGACACTCAGACAAACGCTCGACTCCGCGCAGAACCCCCTAGCCCGTCCGAGTCCGCGACGGAGTGCGCCTTCGCCATCGGGACACATTTCGCCGCGACCAAGTCTGATCGCGTCTCCACCGTTCGGGTAGAGAGGATGTCCCATGGTTTACACATGTTTACACCGACAAACGTTTGTTTGTTCGTTCGTTCGTCCGTCCGTCCGTTCGTTCGTTCGTTCGTCCGTTCGTTCGTATTTTTGTTTTCGTTGTGTTTTCCTCCCGTGGTGCGAAGCAACTAACTTGTACGTGAGCCAGCAGCTTAAAGGGTTGGCATGTTTGTCTGATGTTCTACGCCCGAAGATGCCAGGATGGTGCCCGCTTTGGAATCCTGGGGAGGTCCAACTCTTTGGGGTTTGGCATCCAGTGTCTCACATCCCTTGGAACTGCCGATGCCAAAGGAATTCGGTTTACTCTTCCTAGCATGTGTTCATATAATTTTCTGGAGCCCCTTGTTCTGCCAGAACGTGCCCAACGCGCGTTTCATGGAGTTTGCACCCGCCTGTATGGCGAGAACGGAAGACTCAACTTGGCTTTATCCATCAAGATCCAACCCACTTGGGGTACTCAAAGATCAAGAAGTGACATGACCTACTTTATATTGTCGGTTTCGATGACATCCCAAGATCGATCGCTAAGGACAGTCAACCACTGATTCTAAGAGGAAAGGAGTGACACCTGGTTAGCCTTAGTCAGAGTCTATATTAGCCTGTGGGGATCAACATTTTGTCAGCTTAGTTGCCCTGCTCTCTCATCCTTGAGCTACCCTGCTACTTTGCACCCGACCCGAGGGCTCATATCGAGCAGCGGATGAGACGGCCGGAAGCCGAGAGTTTTGATTGAACGATGTTTGCCAGCGGCCAAAGTCGCATCGGCCAAAAAGATGTGAGGGACCTCAAAAACCAAAGTGTTTAGCATTAGTATGCAGTAATTTGACACAAACATGGTCGCAGGGAGTGAGAGGGAGCGAGGATTTGAAGGCCTGGAACACGTTCACTCATGGCGTTCAGATAGTTTGCTCATCTGCTTGGGTTTGACGCTGTGGGCGTTCCAATCCCAGGCGTTCCAACCGCCGGCCCTTGAGCGTGGGGCCCTGTGGTTCGAAGCGCCTCGCGTCCGCCGGGCGCCCCAGCGGACGTCATGTCCGGATGTCTCCGGACGTTTCCTTTTGGGAGGTGATTTGTAGGTGATTGTTTATAATCATATAAAGACTGGCTGGTCATTCGATGGTGCAGAAACGGTCGGGCACGTGGGCAGAACGTGGGGAGACCGTTTCGACGACCGGCCTTTCGACGTGGCCGCAGTTGGTGAAGAAGACCCGTGACATCCGGTGACCCTCCGGTGAAGACCGGTGAGGCGAGGCGGGTGAAGACCAGTGGATGTTCGGACTCTGAACATGGACCCATTGGAAGCAGCAAGAGGATCTTGGGCATTTTGGGAGACGTGAGACTTGTGAGAGTCTCTTGAAAGGTAGGATGTAAATGGTGTTTGTGTAGGTGGACTTGTATTTGCAAAGATCAGCCAGTCTGCTAGTCCCAAACATGTTATTCACTCCCAATCACTGAGGTGAGTGATTTGCGTCGGAGCTGGCCGTCTCCTGATCCCGGGTATCTTTCTGCGATTTGCAAAAGTGAAGTCACGTTGCGACACACAGAGTGCCACTTTCCAGTCAACACAGGGGGACACACAGAGTGCACAAGGAAGACTTCACAAGACCCTGCCATTGGGTCAAACAACTGGGTTGGTGCAAAGCACCAACACAGACCTTCTGCATCATGGCAGCAAAAGAGAGCCCAGGGGTCAAGACAATCCATTTTTCTCATATTTTTTTCAATTCGTTTCCCATCAGGGTGGGCCGGAGAGTTCTGTGGTCCTTTTGTGGTCCTTGAGATCTCTGGTTGAGGTTGGTCTCGTGGGGGACTGCTTGCCAGGAGGGTGGGCAAATGCACAAGAGGTGCAGCCGGGCTAACTGGGAAAGGGCAGACTGGAGAGGACTGTGATCTTGTTGTGTTTTTTCTTTTTCTGAGGGTTGATTTTTTGTTGGTGTTTTTTTCTTCTTGTGTTTTTTTCCTTCTCGTGGCTTTTTTTCTTCTAGATTCTAGTGTTTTTTTTGTTTTTTTCTTGTGTTTTTTATTCTGGTGGTTTCTTTCTTCTGGTAGTTTTTTTCTTTTGGTGTTTTTTTCTCCGAGGGTGTTTTTTGTTTGGTGGTGTTTTTTTCTTCTGGTGTTTTTTTTAATCTTGTGGTAGTTCATTTTCTTATAGTGGGGGCTTAATTTAGAGCAGGAAGGTGCCAGTCCAACGTAGCATGCCTTTTGTGGGCCACGCAGGGGTGAAGTTTAGAACAGGAAGGTGCCTTTCCAAGGTAGCATACCTTTTGTGAGCCACGCGGGGGTGAAATTTAGAGCAGGAAGGTGCCATTCCAAAGCATGTCGTTTGTGAGCCACGCGGGGGTTAAGCCAAGCAACGAAGCAACCAACGGACCCCACCAACGAAGCCACTAGACTTGGTGGCATTGCGGGGGGAGGCGCTGCTCCCTCCCCCTCTTTTTTTGAAGGAGATCAAAGCAATAAAGCAACCCAGGAAGGTATACTACTTGGCATGGCTCTTCTAAGTCGAGTCCTTGCCCAATCACCTGCATCTCGCAGGAGGAGCTCCTCGAGTCCATTGGCACCTCGTGCCCGGCCGTGGTGAGTCAATATGTGTCGCCCTCGGAAAGACCAAGCTTCAAGGCCTTCAAGGCCTTCCATGAAAAGAAACCGCTGAAAGTCCACCTGCCCCGAAAACCCGAAACCACTTTTGGAGCCTTCTTGGAGGCGATTCAGGTTTCTTTCCAGGATTCATGTGGACTTTAGTCAGGTTTAGGAGGACATCCACACATCCTCGCATGCCGAGTTCAGGTGGAGAAACCCCTGCTGGTGGAAGGCAAGAAGGTGGACTTGCGCTTGTATGTGACCCTCGGCCAAACGTCAGACAAGTGAATGTCGAAGGGCTTCTTCTCATTAATCCATGATCTGTAGATAGCAAGTCGAAGCCTTAGAAAAGAACAGAATGAGCCAAGTGAACCCGAATCATTGATCCAACCTCTCACTGAGTGGATTGGATGGCCAGTTCCCGCCCACCGACCCGATCTTCGTTCCCATTCGCCTTCAGGCTCGTGACCTCCTTCGGCCAGGTGGACCGGATCGAAGGGCCGGTCGGATGCAGTGCACGATGCGGCGAGCAATGCCTTTCACAGATCCAGATAATCCAGACAAGATGAGAAGACCGGGGGCGTGATTCTTTGTTTGACATGTGAACATGGGACAAGTTTCAATATGTTTCAATGCTGGATTTTGGAGGGTGTGAGCTGTGGCCGTCTCAACTCTTGTCAGTTGACTCTTGTAGACTTGTGAGTTGACTTTTGTAGAACAGCTGATGTCCATCCTTGGGGCGCGCCGTCAGGCGGGTCAGGCGGCGGAGGCGGGGACGTGCCAGGCGGCTCACCGGGTGAAAGCAATGTTGCATCAACGGCCCATTGGGAGGGACACGATCTCCAACTGGAAAGAACCAGAGATCGATCTTCGGCTAGGTTGAGCCCATTGGGCATTTTAGTAGGATCTTGCGCTTTTCAGGGCGAAGATCCAAGTTTCTAGCACAAATCCTTCGTAAACATTCATAAACTAGAGGTTTTCATGCTCGTCATGATCTGTCATAGCCTTCATGATGGTGCTTTGTTGGGTTCGCACAACTGCCAAGAGCCTGTCTGCCTCTAGCTGTTTCATTTGGTTGGCCCGGGCCGAACTTGGTGCATCGTCTTCGATTGCTCGGTCCGTTTCTGAGGCATCCTGCCCGTGATCCGCTGGTTTTCCAACACTGCACATGAGCAAATTCAATGATGGTGTGTGCCCCGTCATCTTCGGTCCTCACCCCCCTTTCGATCCTTTTCCGATCTGTAGCCTCTGACTTGTTACGGCTCCGGCCGCACCCGAGGCGTATCTCTTCAACGAGGGCTTGGTGCGCTTCGCCAGCGAAGCCTTCACCATGTCGGCAGCGCAGCTGGGCAACCCCTGCGTGCATCTCACTAACAACGAGGCGCGGAGCAGGCGGAGCAGGTGGAGCAGGCGGAGTGGATTGAAAGACTCCGACAGAGATGAACACCCAGTGGGTTAAGGTTCCTCTCACTTCGTGGTTTGTCTCATAGACCTTGTTCTTTCGGTTCGCACATGGTGCTCGTTAGATTCTCGCAGATCCCTGGGCAAAAAAAGTTGTCATCCTTCACAAATCATACATTGGAAGGATCTGACAGGTCACCCGGCTATTCATGTTAGTCTGTAACATATAATTTATAAGTACCGATAAGTCTATAGCCTATAGTATATAGCTAAGAGAAATTGTTTGAAGACGTGTCACTGAATGGACATGATCCAAGTTTCCACATCCCTCCCTTCCTAAACAGACTCCATGAACCCACAGGCTCACCAAGCACAGTCGTAAACTGGAGCTGTGCGTCATCATACTGTAAGAGTTTCACCCGGTTGACGTCAAGCATTCTGGCAGGTCAATGCGTAGCTCGGAGCAGTTGTGCGCGGCGTCTGGGCCGACTAGGGGGAAGAGTTTTCAAGGATTGAGGGTTCGACCACATGGAACAAAGATTTGAAGACCTGGAAATGAACCAAAACCGACATCAATGAGCCACCTTTCACATTGTCCTTGGTGCTGTCCTCAGCCAGATTCAGATCGCCATCACAAAGCACCCGCTTTACAGTATGATCCCCCTTCGTACTGCCATACTGAAATCCTTGACCTAGACCTCAATGTTTCAGTATAAATCAAAAGAGGACGTCAGGTAGGTGCCAGGAATCTACAAAAGGCAAATGATGCAAATGGAGGTTTGAAGAATCCTGGTGCCCAAGGTAGTAGAGACGATGTAGAGACGTAGGTGCCAGGACTTCCAAAACACGTTAGACTACAGGATTTTACAAAACTATTGGCCTCCACTGAACTGCAATAGCAAGCACCTCTCAACCAGTCCTCCTTCAATGGTTTGTCCGCCAAGCCATGAACCGTCGATTCGCCTGAATGCTCCTGCATGCGATGGCAGGGAAGCGAAATGCCGTTGCAAAATTTGCAAGTCCGTCCTCTGGAGTAGATAGTGTAGGCTTCTGGGAAGGCTTATTCAACTAGGACACCCCCCTTGCTTACGCCATACTGAAAACATAGGGGTTTGACGTGACCATTGGAAGTCAGGTAGGGGCCTGGAATCTACAAAAGACAATTGAGAAGTTCCTCATGACCCTGCTCTGCACACGTGGTTTCTCTCTCTCTCTCTCTCCCTCCCTCTTCCTGCATATGAAATTTCAATCGTTCTAAACATGGCCTCCTGTATCAATTTCTTGATCTGCTCCAGCCGGGAAGTCTTCTCAGCTTCCAAAGCCTGCAGCGACACTGTAGGAGAAAATCCAAACCACAAAACTGGTGTTTTCTAAATTGCTTCTTTTGCACCTTGATACCCAGGATTCAACCAGGGATATGACCAGCCCGGTCTCATTGTTTTTTCCGTGGTTCCAAACCCTCTAGGGCATGTGGGTTTCGTAGGACTTTACTAAAACCCAGTCTAGCGAAAAAACCTAGGGTACCACTGAAAAACTAGAAAGTCACCTTGGTTCGGTAGGATTTTAGTATGTAAAATCCTGGGGATCTACCCTTGGTGTCAGTACCAAGGGGGATCAGTATGTGCAGGTAAAGCTACTGCAGACCAATTGCAGAATCCGAACGCATGGCTGAGGAAGCATGCGAAACAAAATGGGCCTGGGCAAGCGAACTGTGCCTTTGATGAGGAGTTGGAGATGTCGGAAGCGTGACAACTACTGTATCACTGTATCACATGAAGAAAGTAGGTGAGCAAACCACAAACAACCAAAGCATTGTTCAGAGGGTCCGACGTGCAGGATGAAGATGGGGGGGAGGAGCGGGGATGGGGTCAATGAGTGGTCCCTCCACTGAGGCGGGAACTGGCGCCTGTCAAAGCTTCTGAAGTGGTTGAAAGGCGAGGGTTCATTGGCTGAGAATGGCCAGTCACGCGACAATTGGCACACTGGAAGATCGGGTGATTGATTATTGTTCATAATGGCAACATGATGAATACCTTCCGCGGTTGCTAGGGTGCCATGAATCCTTATACTATCTTATACTTATGATTGTTTGCTTTTTGATGCTAAACCTCATTGACCCAAACCCCTCGGCCCAGTTGCGGCTGGTTTGCTCCCAAAGGCCATGCAGCCACGAGAGTCTTTCCATGTCTTTCCTAAAGTGCGGGATTTATTTGCATGTTACTAGTAGTAAGGCCAGGAGCTAGTAGCGTCCTTGCTCCTAGTAGCGATGCCCTTTGTTACTAGCAGCTTCTTGTTACTAGTAGTAATGGCTTCCATCCTACCAGCGATGGCCTCCAACCTGCTGTACTAGTTTCTAGCTACTAGAAGTCCAAGCATTTTTTGGTGCAACAAAGAGGGGGGGGGGCAGGGCGGCCAACAAATGTTGGATGACGGTTTCGAAGAGTTTCGAAAGAGTCCTCTTGCAATTTCTCGCGTGACAGAGTTGTTTTTTGTTCAGCGACTCCTTTGTGGCTCTCCCAGATTCAACAGCCTTTGCTCCTGACAATGTGGAGGCATTGGTGGGAGATGGCTGTCAGTCCTGGGCCTTTGTATGCTTTTGTGATGTTTCAAAACTATGAAATACCAAAACATTGAAAAAACCAGACACCAAGTGGCTACAGTAGCTGGCCACGGTGGTCATGGGGGCGTTCTAAAGGAATTTCTTTCATCCCTGTCACCGTTGGCTCAGCCATGTCAGGTTTTGTTACTTCACCGGCCACAGGACACCATTCCTGCTTGGCCGTTTTTGTGGTTTTCCCGTCCCACAATCGTTGGGCCTTTTGGGGTGCCTGCAGTGTAGCATTTTTCATGAGACGGTTTTCGTGACCTTTCGTCCCCCCTGGGTCAGTTTCATGCATCGCCAAGGAGGAACTTGATCGGTTTTTTTGGACGACAGGTTGAAGCTGTTTGTGAGGTCCTGCGCCACAAATGGACACCATGACCAGCTACAAAGTACAGTAGCGGTGGTCTTAAAGCAATCTGTGTAGACCACCTCAAAGGGTTTTCCCCATGTTGCATTTATGTTTCTCTCGAGGGCGGACATGGTTTCTTTCTCTCCGCCTGTTTTGTGCACGATGCACATCTTTATACCCTTGAAATCCTGGACCCTCGAATCGCTGAGGAAGCACCGTCGCGACGCCGCGAGAGGCACTTTGGCCGCGCATCCGAGCGCTGGTTTGGGAGGTGCTTGAAGCTGCGAGGCGCGAGGCGTTTGGGGTCAGCTGCTTGAACAACCCTGAGTGGTGTTTAAACATGCTCAAACCATACCCCAGGGCATAAGGTGAAGAACATTGAAGAACCATCAAAAAGGGGCAATCTAATCATTGATCACCAATCAGGTTTCTGAGTTCTTAATATCCACCAGGCAGACCACCAGGCACTTGATCCCACCGGCACCCGACCCCGGCGAAAAGCGAGCGAACAGGCCCACGATCGCCCAAGCGGTCGCACAGTTGCCGGTGACCGACCGGTGCTTTGAGCGGCTTGGTTGGGCGGTGTTCGGCGCGCGGTGGCCAGTGGGTCGGTTTTGGGGCAGTCCCTTTGACTGGCTGGGAAGGTTGCAGAGGAAGAGGGTCTTTTGGGATCTTGAGCGCTTCGATTGTGCACAAGAGTCTTCAACAAATTTGATTCTTTTTGGGAGTTGGCAGCTGTTGCAATTCGGCCACCGAAGCCTCCATTCGAAGTGACCCATGGTGACCGATGGTGACACACGACCCACCGAAGGTTCATGTTAAAACTTTGGCAGGTGAGTTGGTAGTAGACCACAGCTCAGCTTTTTGGAGTCATTTAAAAACGACTTTGTTTTCCATTTGTCCAAAGCTCGATCCAGGCTCGGTCCCACGATTCGTCTCCATCAACAAGTTGTTGATTGAACATGAGAATGCGGAGTTCATGTGTTTGACCCGATGTCTGGCTGTTCCCGCCGGTTCCCGCAAGAGAAGCGAAGGCTTTTTGGCTTTGATGTTCTAGTGGATGAGCCTTGGAGGCACTGGCATGGGGGGCTCAAGATGGCTTAAGGACCAGCGGTCCGAAGATGCACCAAGATGGACTCAGGGTCCATGTTGATGGTCCATGTCTTGTTCGAAAAGTCTGCACCCAAACGATGCAACGTAAATATCATATGGATATCATATGCAGCGTTTTATGACGTTTTAGAATCGGTGTACCCACCCCTCCTTAATTCGAAGGGGGATAGACACATCATGATGGTTTCGGGGGGGCATCTGAAGTGACTTTTCATGAGTTTTTGGTGTTTGACTCCGCAAACAGCCAATGGTCGATCTGGAAGACCACCTAACTGAGGGAGTTGACGAGCTTGCATGGTTGACTGTGCGAGCGCACCAGTGCGTGGGGAGCATGAGTTTGGACACCAAATCTTGGAATTGTTGGGTCGAGTTGGCTCGAACGACTAAGACTTAGCCGTCTTGACTTTTCATTGCACGTGTATTTTAGTTACTTTATGACTAAGATGTCATAGTCATAGGGGGCGAACCGGAGGGCCCAGGCTTCAACCAATCTTGACCATCCAATGACCTTGCAGCAAAACTGGGGGGGATCTTCCAAATGAGTTCCATGCACTTTCATGTTTCATTTCAACTATTGTACATCTTGGACACCTTCCTATTCTTCATCATCTTCATCGTCCGTACGCTTTTTCTCCAGCTTGGCCGGTCCAATACCGCAACAGCAGACACATCGCCGCCGAGGATGCGCTGCGACCGTGGCTTTGCGAGGTGAACTCGTTGCCATCGTTGGGCATCGGCGGAGCCGCCGATCTGGAGGCGGGGTGCGGGTGGATGGAGCGGGGGTGGAGTGGATGCTGGTGGGGTGGAATTTTCTGTGCTTGGTCGGAGCGATGTCGAGTGGTTGAGTGGTTAGGCCAGAGTGGTTGGGTATGGTTGGCGTTGGGGTGGTTGTGTGGACGGATTTCTCTCTCTGGAATGTGGGAGATAGGCTTTGTAGTTTCATTGCCGAGGTTCAGGCTAAACTTGGGTGTGCAAGCATGTCTTGGCTGGAAACGATGCCTTGCAGGTGGACCGTGCCATGTTGCTGAACCTCTTTGAGATCCTTTGGAAGGCCGCGGCAGACGTGACGGCTGCAATTTGAGGTATCAAGACCCGACAGCGACAGCATGTGCAGCAGGGGCTCTTTGGGTTGACGAGATGTGAGATGGTGTGAGTGTTGAGTCCGGAGGCTTCTTTTTGAAGGCTGGAGGCTCATCCAAAATTAGAACATATTGGAACCTGGAAACGGGCTTGTGGAAGCAGCGAGTGACCTTCCAATGCCATATGCAATTGTGGTTGGTTGTTTGATGGTGTTGTAATGTGTTGTATATATATATATAGGTTCTTTTGTGTTTTGTTTTTTCGAGCCTGTGCCCCTTTGCCCTTCCAATCGGAGGTGTTGGTCAGCCGGTTTTCGTCCCTAAAGACTCCTGAACAGCTTTTGACTCGGTGGTGTGACGAAAGCACCACTCGCAGCAACGATGACTGACCGATCTGTGGTATGAGTCAATATGAGCACACTGAAGTGGAACCTGGGGTAGCTGGCTCCTGGAGGTACCTCTTCTACCATTATATATCATTAAAATATATGTTTGAAAACATCGACAAAAGCCAAAGCCCACGCACCAGGTTTCAGGGACTCTATTCAATGAATCTCGCACGTAGTCACATACACTCCTAGGATTTGAACACGTTGCCAAGAAAGATAGCCCGGGCTTCTCAAGGCGGTATCTTTTGCAAAGACTGTATATATATATATGACAAATATTGAAAACTGGTGAAGCTTGGTCACGACTTGGTGGCTTCAATATCAGACAGGACATGTTCTCGCCCTTTGATCCAGCTGTTTCGATCATGTCATTCCTCTTGGAGGTTTGAAGACGGGGACCCCCTCATAGCAGAGATGAATCAATGCCTCCCAAAACGATGAACAACTGCTTTGATGAGTGTTCCAAATCCCCGCAACGGTCGATAGCATAAATTTGTACTAGCACAATTTACCAAACATCCGCATTTTCAGTACCTATAGGAAATACGCTGCTTTGCTCCTTGTCCTCGCGAGGATATCTCTGCGTCAACCGTCGGCGACGGTGAAGCACTGCAAGTGGAACGCTTTGAATCACTGGGTGCGGGCGAGACAACAGCCGCAGACTGCGCCGAAAAAGGAGCATGAGCCATGATCAGAATTGTCGATGATTGAACTGGGGACATGGGGTGAGGCCGAGGCCCCAAAAAACCCAAAGCTCAATCTCTTTCACAGGAGCTACTGTATTGCTTTGATCATTTCTGGCGATCTACAGGATTCTTCCCCAAATTGGCTGCTTCTGTTTCAAGCCTCATGTTTCTTGTTGACGCTGATTCTGATGAAGTCAAAATGTTTGCTAAATCCATTTGAGGCATGAACAATTTGCTCATTGCCTTTCAATATACATCTGTCGCAAGACCAGTGTAGTCCCCGCAACGTATCCATCCCTACAATATCTACAATCCCTTGAGTGATGTCCGCCCCTGTGCCAATCTGTGCAATTTTTTGTCAATAGTAATCCCTTGTTTACGTGTCAAAATACCCATTCCCCAAGTGCAGTGAGGTCGTTTCTGCCCTGCCTGGCCGCTCCTGGTTCTATCCAGAAATTGCTCAGTTTCAGATGATGTTCTTGAGATCTTTCCCTCAAGAGTGAGGGATCCTCACAGTTTGGGGACGATGCCTTGGTCCTTTCAGATGCCTTGACGTGACCAAGGTGTTGAAACTCCCGTGCAAATCATCGAGTCGTTGGAGTCATCGAGTCCCACTTGGAGACCAAAGGTCTTCAGAAGCACCATTTGCGCAGCTCTGGATGTCCGCCCCTTTCTGGGCTCAAGTGACAAATTGATGTAACTTGCCATTTGTTTAGTAAAGAGATTAACGTTTTTTTTGGTGACTCCCTTCTTTGAGCCATGTCCTTCGTATACACCCTTGGCTTGACTTTGATGCTTGTTGTGAGTGGCGTCCGGCAAGACCAGATGGGTACGCCAAACGGACGCGATGAGAAACCTTGGGCGGATCCTTATCAAACAGGGCAACACAGTGGCTTCTACGACCGGCAACGACGACACTTGGTGCGACATTTCAGTTAGGAAAACTGAGTGTCGGCCACATGGGCACCAAACAGGGCCGACATGGGCTGACCGAATCTGGGGTACACTGCTTCATTTTGAGTGGAGAGAAAGCATAATGGAAACCAAAAGGCACAGCTCTCCGACGCATCATTTGAGATCCAAAGATCTGACACAACTGACCCAAAGACGATGAAATACATCTTCCTCGAAAGGGCGTGGAGAAAGCTCGATGTGTACGGCTTCCATTGAGCAAAGCTAATATATGCCAATAGAACTTGCTTCAGTGAGATCCAATCTTGAACAGTTTTCTTGGGGTTAGGTGGGGTGGGGGGTAGGGCGGCACAAAATACACAGGAGTAGTAGTCTCCTGCCAGTGCATGCATGTGACTTTTGTCTTGAGTTTGTTGTTTCAATTTGTTTCGGGATTTGGGCAAAGCTGGTCCGCCCATATAGCAGTGCCCGCAGAAGGTTGTTCAGAAATCATGCACATGCATCCACAAAGTCCTTGCGCCACTCAAAGTGAGCGAATCTGAGGTGATATGGAAAAGATCATTGTTGACTGCTGGCACCCGCACCTCGAATCCTTTACCAAGTGCATCAAGGAGACGTGTGAAAAGGACTTTGGCGGCAGCCTCTTGCCTGTGATGGATAGGAGTGTTCCATCATCTTAGTGGTCAAAGAGTCAACAATCCGAGGCTATCAATGTTTATAGTCTGACTGACTCAAGCGAAGGATGAATTTGGACTCTGTTTGTGGAGGAAACTAACCTTTCCAGGAACCATTTTCATCCATTTTCCGCCTCTACATGACCGAATGTAACAGTTTCCTGGACCCTTCAGTCAGTTAGTGCATCACTTCCTGGAGTGACCGCCAGAAACCGCCTGACTTGGGGTCTCAAAACCATCTCTTCAGAGGTGTTCTTTGGACCAGCGAGTGCTTCCAAGGGACAATCTTTAGCCTTTCCGTCCCAGTCACCAGTCTAACAAAACCCGTTTTTCATGTGTCGGCGGTGCTTGAATGGTTCTCTCATTGAGATTTGCAGTTTTCCATGACGCATTGACCTTGACATGTCGCGATCCCGATTCATTTAGCAAACATGTTTGAACATCGAAGGTGCTCGCAGATGGTTATATATGGTTATATATATATATATGGATATGTGTTTTTGATGATCGAGTTTTTTCCGACTACCGTTTCTTGACCGTTTGACCCACTTGGCGGCTTCGCAGCCGCCCAGGTTTCACTGCAGTGGTCTCAGATCATTGGAAATATGTGGAACCTGAACACGATCAGGGCTACTATGTCATGTTCCAGTACGGTGACACGAGCAAAGGGCAAGATTACAAGATCGTGATCCGCAAGTAGTGAGTGTTACGCTTCACACGACCTGACAAGTGTGAGCTGTGGTTCTTGACATGCGCGCAGACGTGGAAGCAAAAAATGCTGAGCTTGCCACAGAGACTGGGACAAAAAAAACACTAGATTTAAGACATGTATAATATGAATATATAAATGAGTTCACCTGGTTGGACCTTCTTCATGTATTAGAGCGGCATGATGCCCTTTAGAAGAACCATTCTTCACAAATGGTGACTTTTGTGAAGTGAACACAGGAGTCACTGGAGGTGACCCACCAGTTTCCCTCGCTTTTCCGCAGTCGGCTCTCGGGATGACAAGCCTCAGCCTAGCCCCCATGGCTGTGGCCCCGACGCCCTCGGGCCCGCGGGTCCGCCGCGCGCCGAGCACGCTGGGCGCTGGCGTCACGCGGTCGAGTCCTGCCTGGTGCGAGGGTGGCGCGCGGTCCGCCGGGGCGACCCAGGATTTTGTGTGGCTCGGCCAGGATTCAGATGGAGGTTGGAGGACGGAATCTTGGCACCCAGCTCCACCTTGGAAAAGAGATGATTTTCATGGGTCATTTTGTGGTGTCCATTACCCTGATGCACTCCCTTCTCACCGTTTTGCTGTTCTTCATCCAGTTGCAGCGATTGGCGCAGTCATCGGTGATCATCAGTGCCAAAGGTCCAAAGAAGTCTGGTTGCACATCAACTTGTCTCAGTAATGTTGAGAACCTTTAAAAACCCAAAGCTGAGATCCCAACAAAAGATCGGTTTCGCCAGCTTTTGATACTTCTGATATATCCAATACATATGAGTTGCATCATTGGCATTTTCAACGCGGACAAAGTAGGCAGCGTTGTTTGGACCTCGTATGGTGCACATAACGTGTCTTTTTCCTCTGAGATGCCTTCGCAAACATACAGCTTGGCTCCTACAGTAGCTGGCTGACATCTTCCGAGAAACGCATGGGCATGTTAATGCTAGCTTACCAAGGTGTCCCTGACTGCAGGTGTCAAGCACTCAAGGTGTCAGTTGAAACGCTCACAACTTAGTCTGAAGAAGGGAATGGGACCACCAGATTGTTCCATATGTTATTGTGGTGGGGATAGACCCAGCAGGAAAGCTCTCCAAATCTGGAGGGTCATCCTCATGAGCAGAAACACCCTGCGGAAGAGCCGCAGGGGGTTGATGGTTTCTGTGAAAATGCCGCTCTCCTCGACTCAGGCGCTGTTTGGCGCTTGGGTCGTTCTCCTCGCTAGCATGGAGAAGCAGGAGTTTCAGAGGTTTCAGATACCCCGCCAGTGTGACTTGCGGCAAATTGAGTGACACTTGTGTAAAGGCCACACACAACAGACAAAACACAACTCAATTTGACAGCAGTCCAACATTTCCCGAGGGAAAAGGGAGAAATGGCACTTGGCGCCAGGCAAGGGTTGAAATGACGTTTGTTGGTCGATGCAGCGATCCGATACAATGCTGTTGAGGGAATATGTTGGGCATGATGAACTGCTATTTTTGGAAGTCGTATGAGTATTCGGGTAGCTGGAAACCTTTTGCGGGCTGGTCTGAAGATCAAAACTTCAAGATTGATTGAAGCTTATGAACTAAAGAGTAAAGGGATATTCACCCAAGAAAAAGAAACGCCAGTTCCAAGAGTCAAAGGTCGCCACGAAATATCCAAGGTGAGGCAGATTGCAAAGGCTGAGGGTGAGGGAAGTGCAAGTGCCAGTGCCTCTTGGATTGCGGTGCATCCGATTCTGGGTGGCGCCTGAGTGGCCTTTGTTGAGGGAATTGGATGGGTTGGGTATCGTCATTTCACTTGCGAAGACGGAGCGTTTGAGAGGCATGTAATGGAGAGAACCTGAGTATTGCCATCAACTGGGAGATCCAGCGGGAGGTTTCGTGGTGATGTTCTGCCAACTGCAGGAAGAGAATGTTCTACTGAAAGGTCATGGGACACTTGGATGGTCTTCATTTGATCGCACCAAACTCAGGAAGCTCATTCTTTCTTAACAAAGTGTTTTCTTTCTTAACATGGCACCATAAAACCTCAGAGGTCAAATTTTATCCAAGGTCGGGAGCACGGGAGACATAAGGAGGCCCTGGCTAAACATTGCTACTTAGGCTAATAGGGTTAAGTCACGGGGGATGAACCTTCACTTCTGATTCTGGAGAGTTCCTTTTTCATGGCTGCAATAGCAATACTGCCACTCATCAAACAGTGATTGTTGGATCCCGAACATGCAGTATTTTGATGATTAATGTTTGACTTCTGTCTCACCTGAAGCTCGTTCCCAATCAATTGTTTGATGTTTTTCGGCATGTACCCAAACTTGGGGGTTCATTGCTTAAGATTGGAAGTAGTAGAGGTGTACCTGAGAGGATTCCCAGAAGTCCACATGCACCATTCCCAAACAGCGTTCACTCCAGAGGTGCTCAACACACTGGGAGAACTAGACAGCTTGTTGTATCCCTACATGAACCACTGGCAAAGGCCCGTCAACCTTGCAACGTTTATGAAAGAGTGGTCATTTGTTGGTCAATGCTCCCTTCAATGCCATCCGCTCTCCACCTCCTTTCCACGAAGATCGGCCGCCCCAAGCGAGGTGACGGTGAAGGACCCGCGACGGAGCCCCGTGCGGCGCGCGCGGCGGGTCGTCGTGGCGTCGATCGCCGTGGCGTGTGGACTGGTGGCGCTGCTCTACGCCACTAGCGACCTGGTCGACCACGGGTGCAGATGGTGAGAAACGGTGGATTTGTTGGGATTTGGTGCTCAGGGCGCAAGAGTTGATCAGTTTCGGTTCTTGCTTGAAAGCCATGGCATGGCTTTTCGGAGGTGTCACTCCTAAGTGGAACGGCCCAGCAAGGAGTTTGAGAGTTCAATTGTTCAATTTTTACTGTTCAGTTCTGTCGCAGTCTTCAATTAAGGATTTTGCACCGCGATGACATTCGAGCAGCACATGGCCCCAGTCCCAGCTAGGAATCCTCTTGCTTCCACTTACAAAGTTAAGAATTAACAATCCAAGTAGTAGGGGTCGTTGTGGTCGTGGTCGTGGTCGTGGTGGTGGTGGTTGTTGTTGTTGTTGTTGTTGCTGTTGTTGTTGTTGGTGGTGGTGGTGGTGGTGGTGGTCGTGGCGGTGGTGGTGGTCGTGGTGGTGGTGTCGTGTCACCTGTTTTGCTTGACATTCTTTTTTGGCGGGTGCCAGTGGTCCTCATCCAATCACCAGGGGCGTTTTCACGTGAGGCTTTGTGGAAGCGGCGATGCATAAGTTGTTTGCTCCGCCCATGAAGGCGAGCGCGGCGTGTGGGATGCAGAACATATGCCAGGTAGAGTGGTGCTGGGGTTAAGGTAAGATAATGGATCAGAGTGAATTAAACCCCTACCTGGTCGCCCACATGGTGATTTGGGAAGTCGATATTCAATATGTTGTGCTGCCCCTTGCCTGTTGGTTGACAATGAAGACCTTGTGCCACAGGGATGTCAGGCAGATTCATGAGCTACTTTGGCAAATTCGGAGCACAGGGTCACAGGGTTTTTTGCGGTCTCCAAGCGGATGGACGAAAGGAATTGAGGATGGAAAGTCAGAAATTGAAGATGTGCCAGAAAGGTGTATCCACAAATCCACTTCTGCCCATCTTGTCGCTGCTTCTTTTTCGGCCGCCCCTCGCGAGGCCAAGTCTCCGGGCATTGCCATGATCATTGGCCTGGCGGTTGGTGCGTTGCACACTGTGGCAGGCGACGGTCGTTACAAAACGCCTCAAACGTCGAAGCTCTAGAGCCGAGGAGCCAAGAAGGGGCGGTGTAAGATGTGGGGGTTAAAGAGTCTTTCGGAGTCAGGACATGTGGGGGTTAAGGACTTGGATGGGGTGTCGATAGAACTGGCTATCTCATGGGCCAATCCTTGCTATATCATGCATGTTTGGAGTGCGCGAAGTATGTTTGACCAAGTGCACCTTCAATAAATTTCTCTTTCAACTGGCAGGGTCTTTGAACTTACAGTGAACTCTGAAAGAACGAGCAGGACAAACGACGAAGACCACCGGTCAATTCGTTGGATTCCTTCAGACCAACTTCGAACTTCGTCTTGCGGCCAATTGTGCATCACCTTGTAGTTCAGCATCAAATTCAAGATCGGATGGGTCAGCAAGTGCTTTCACAGACTTCGAGTGTACATGATCTTTGTGCATATGTTTCTCGAGATACTGTATATGATATGTACAGTATACACATCCGCTGTAAAATACACGCCTCATCTTGATATGGTCCAATGGGGAGATTCCGTTTCCGATTCTTTTTCAGACCCCCCCACGACTCACCGTTGTCACCAAAGGCCCTGACCACCTGGCGGCGCTGGCGCCACTGGTCATCGGCAAGCGGCGGTCCGTCTTCGCGGCCTTCGGGCTGGGCGCGCTTTGGGGCTCAGGCCATGCCACCGGGCAGCTGGTACCTTGGACGACGAAAGAAAGAAGGTGAGGAATGATGGGGAGGAAGGTTTGCAGGGTTTTGGTGCCGATGCTTCCAAGGTGCCTTGGGGGTGCCACTGGGTTTGTATCATTAGCGGAACATCTCAAGAACTTCTTGTCAAGAACAGGACAACTGTCCACATTATTGGATTCTTCCAAGTTATAAATCTAGCTGGAGTCTCCAAGTGCCCTAACATTGGTGTAAACGGACCAGTTCATTCGCCCCGTCATCTCAATGGTCCCATTCGAAGGACACTAAGCAGTCACACAAGTTGAGAGTGAGTATAACTCAGCCAGTTTATTCGCCCCTGCCAATGGAAGTTCAATCGCATTTCCAAAAGAGTTCACCGAGGTGATTGGCCTGGGATGCTTAGCGGTCCATCTCGGCTTACTGCAGATGCATGTCGCCACGGCACTGCAGCAGATGAGCGGCTTTCTAGTGGGTGCCTCCTTGATCGCCATCGGCTTGTTGGGGTTCCATGGAACTCGTGGCAATTTGTTTGCTTTGTTTTGCTGGATTGGTATTGGATGGTATTGGTATGGTATTGGTTATTGGTATATACTAATTCGGAATGTGTATTCATGCGTGGTCTTTGGGATTGCTTTTTTGCTTGCTTGTGATTGTGTACTTGATTGATTGGTTACAGCATGTGCATTTTGAGGTAAACACTATACGACAACAGCAGAAGGAGGCACAAGATGAGACACTTAAGCAAAATGGGTTTGTATTTTAAGTAGGCAGCCGCCCAACCCTCCCCAAGGCCCTCCCTATGTTTGGTCTTCCCAGTCCGCAGAACTGGCTGGTCTGTGGTTCGGTATGGTTCGGTGTTCGACTCCGATCGCCCAGGTTCAAGGAAGCCAAGGACTATGACCCAACCGAGGAGGAGGACATCTAGCCGTCCAGACTAGGGTGTGTGAGGGTGTGTGTGTGTGTGTGTGTCCACTCCTGTTTCCAAGGACACTACCCTAGTTTTTCT